GGTGATCCAAATGAGCGCTAATTCGCGAGTTCTTCAGTCGCGAGGCGTAGATCAGAGTCTGTCTTACAGTCAAACCCTGTAATAAGTGTTGACAAACATCCTGTTGTATAAAACATGTCTTAAATTCTCCACTTTTCACATAAATCCTCGACTCTTCACTCAATCCACTCATACTCTGTCCGTTCAAACACTTCAATAAAGTAGTCTTTCCCGCACCGGAAGGCCCCATCAGAGCGTTGAGTGAATTCTCGTAAAATTTTCCCCAAATATTGTTCAAAATATTTAAATTCTGGGATTTATTAATAAATCTGTTTTTAATACAATAGGATAGATCTCTCCATACAATCATTGGGTTTGTTTTATTTTCAACTCTATTTTCTTCAAGATTAATATTATTATTATTAATTTCATTGCCATTTATGCAATAAATCTCGGAAAAATTATTAGTATTAATATTTTTCAAAATAATGTGATTATATTTTGAAAATTGTTTCCAAATATTTATGGAAATACTTTTGTTTTTAATGTAAAACATTGTAAAATTAAAACAAACAAGTGTTAAATAATACCATAAATACGAGTAGAAATAAGCCCAAAACTGATTGTCAGGGTCGGTGTCTAAATGATATTCCTTGAGGGGTCTGGAGGTATAGCCATTAGGACAGCGACCGAAGCCATAGATTATGATTAATATTGAGTTGAATTCATATTTCAAAAAATCAAAATCACTGATCACTTGAAAGACTCGGTTTAAACGGTTTATACGGAAAAAGAAGTTATTGTAAAGAAGTAGAGATATTAAGACCAACAGAGATATCATTAGCGCAAAGTCCCGGTTCTTCGCTAATAGTAAACCAATTGTAGTCGTAATCAATTGATTGCAGAGGAATGTCATCAAAATAGTGTAAAATAGTTTGTAGACTCTGTGACTGTCCTCCATATGCAGACCAAAGTAATTGATTATTATTGACAAAACCAATGAATAAATCAAAATCAGTGAACTCTCCACAAACAGTCTCGACAGATAGTAAGCACATTGATTGTACCAGGCTGTTACATAAAATTAAAATGAGGAAGTGTTGATAACATTCTGTCTTTCATATTAATTATAAATTATAATTTATAATATTAAATAGGACAAACAAATTCATAATTAAATTAAATCATAGTACGGTACTTAATATTAAATTTTATACATTTAAAAATAACAGTATAATCATAAAATAAAACTAATATCAAAATTATAGAAATTACTTACAGTTTTTATGCTCAGATTTGAATATATTTAAATCATTAGCCAGATTATTAGATATAATGATAATTTGAATACACGTTGAGACTAAAGTAGTGAAGTAAATATAATATTGGATTTGTGTTAACACAGACTTTTGTGCCTCTAATTGAATGCACGTTTGATTTGTAGGCAAATCCCAGCGAAAGCATCCATCAGTTGTCCCGATATTTGGGCTTAAATTTAAAATTATGAACAAATTTGTTGCAATGAATATTAACAACTGTTTGCTCATACTTTTCCACCCTGATACATAGTAGAAATGTACAAATCTTATTAAAAGTGTCAACATATCAATAGCCTTAAATGTTTTTTCATGTGTTGAATGATTTCTAATGGGATCCATATTTTCTGTATTTAAGGCTTCAATCTTATTATAATCACATAATTGTCGAAAATCTTTGCTTTCTTTTGATTCAAAACTCAATTTAATCAACACTTCAATCGGCACTTCATTTTCACTAACAGTTATGTAACAATCCATGAGATGTTGTCTCAATTGTTTGGGAACTCCATCGTAGAGACAATGACCTCCTTTGGCCAATACATAGATGTTGTCAAACATGTGAAACAAATCGTTGTTTGGCTGATGGATGCTAACGATGACTGATATGTTGTGTTTACGGGACAGTTGTTTCAGACATTGGATGACCTGTTGATAGGAATTCAGTAAAAATACAAAAAATATTTACTTTTCTCGCAAAACACTCACGACTTGTGCCGCATGTGTGTCGAGACCAGTGGTGGGCTCATCGATGAACAGTAGGTATGGTTTGGAAATGGATGTCAACTCGAGTGCAATGCAAATGCGTTTGATTTGACCGCCACTACAGCTCTCTATGCGATTGTCCCGGATATCACTTATTAGCAACTCTTGCATCAAATCCAAGACATTC